GGAACGCGGAGAAAAAGAAAGAGATTTATGGGAGAGAGTGGTCATGTGGGATCTATGGTAGTGATCTCAAAAGCTAAGGTAAAGCACTAGAATGAGACCGAAAGTAGAAACCTCTTATAACTGAACAAAAAAGCGACTACCAGTAAAAGCCATTCGCATGCTTCCTTCAAATTTTTCCCCAATTCTGAAAGTTGCGCACTTGTCCACGTTCTACAGCGCAATGTTGCGAACGGAATGATCTTAAGGTTATGATAGTCTAGCCGCAATAGATCTTTAGAAAGTCACAAAAAGAAACAAGTTCTTAGTACGTCCTTTAATATAATTCGCTGGATATTTGAAAGTGATTGCGCAGTTGTGAGCTGTATTGCTGATAAGATTTCCTGTCAAATGAGCAAAAACGACTTAAAAATTCAAATTTGACCTAGAAATCGAGAAAAACAAAAAACACGAGTTTTCTTATTTCATTCACTCAGACCAAAAAAAATGTTGCGCAGTTATTCGTTCAACTGTACGCTCAAGACCTTTATAATAATATACGATTTGCTTATATTAATTTGCATAAAACGGAGAAAACGTGGAAAACGCTTGGTTGCAGAGAAAGTGTGCAATTTTTAGAGGCGGCAGAGAACCACCAAAGCCGACGGGGCATTTGATTCTGATGGGTTATCTCGGCTCCCACTAAACGAAACCCCCAACACCCATATATCATTCTGCACAGAATCGTTTGGAAAAATTCAGTAGACAACTGTGCAACATACATAAGTTTTACCATAACAAATTATTATCTATAGTCTCTTGTTTTTCCTATTCAAGGTTATTTGACATACATGCTCCTATAGTTTAATTCTAAATCTTATGACTTACATGGAACGATGCATGTCTTTCGAAGTTCTTATACACATCAACTGCCTTAAAAGAAATGGTTATAGGGCGAAAAGGCACTTACTCCTCAAATTTTTCGGCCTTTTCAACTTCAACTTCTACCATCAAAACTACATCTTTTCATTTTTCATTAAAAACAACTTCTCATCGTTGTCCCTAAAATCCACAGCTCTTATGTACTACGATATCTTAATCTTATTTCGTTAACAGTAAAGTGAAATTCTCCCTCTGTTGGTCTTATAATATTTTCAAACTTCTAGTGTGTGGAATCAAGGTCCTGGGCTCTGCCCCAAACCTTAACTTGCTCAAACTTCCTTAGGTGAGGGTCCCACTCTTTCTTCGCTCATAAGTGAAGGTGACCAGAGCCGTGCCTTTATGTATCTAACCTATGGTAAACACACCTTCGGTAGGAGAATGCGGTCGATCTCCGCATGAGTCTTACCGTTGGACGGCTTCCATGTCCACCGCCGGTGCTCTTTCTTTATAAAGATGGAGTTGCCGTGAAAGAGTTGTGTGGTGTATAAGAGCCCTACAAGACGGCTAACATAATTTCGGAGTCCTGATTCAAATCATCCGATCCTAGGGTCACCCGCGACAAATTTGCAGAAGGGATTTTCTTCGCGAATGAGTTCCTCCAGATCTTCATAAAAAGCTTCTGGTGGTAGATTAAGGTAGATGCGCAGAGGTCTCAATTTTGAGCATTACCATCCGACTCGAGATCAGACATTTCTAAGGACTTCTAGATATAGAAGAGTGGATCAATCTGATCTACCTTGAGAAGGTAGCGATTTTTACAATAAAAATCGATAGATTAGGTATTTGAACCTCTTAGAAGGTAGACCAACTTTGATCTTCCATCTAGAGAGCTAATGTATGATCCATCGATGGTGGTCAAATTTGCGTAAAATGGTATTTGTGACCTTGCCGTGGTAGGTATGATCTACTTCGACCTACCATATAGGAAGGCTCAGAAATATGTAATCTAGCAATTTGAGTCCTCAAAATCGTAATCGTCCGGCATACAAGTTTGATCTACCTTGGTCACAACCTAGATCGGTCAAAGCGTGATCTATCACATAGGGTAGTCAAAGTCTTGATCTTTCCGTGGCAGATTACACCTTTATCTACCATCTAGAACGGCTAGGAAATGTGTGATTATGGATTTGGGTGGCCAAAATTGCCAATTGAGCAGATTCAAATTTTTGGCTATCTCTGTTCACACTCTAATACATCTGCTCTAAACTCAATAGTTTCATTATGTTTTCTTCATGGATTCTGTTCTGACAGGTATAGTATACTTGGTAGAAAAGGCGATTCAGAAAAAATGTACTGTCAAATGTAACTTGAAATTTAGATGCCAAAGCTGCCTTCCGCATTTGCGAAG